AATTGAGCCACAGCTGGGTCCCCTTTGTCAGAGAAGATGAGAATTTGTATTCTACCACTTTTCCCTCCTCTGTGTCGAATGGATGTTATTTAAAACCCCTTGTGTAAATCAAGAATTTTACAGTTCAATATATGCGGCATTTCCTTCACCCCTTTAACACCTCGGCAAGTAAGAAGATGCTTTTAAGCACAGTCTGAGGCCTTTCCTTCTGGGTCCATATTGAGTTCCCAAGTAGGTTCCTGCTGCTGCACCGCCCGGAAAGCCAACCGGCGGTGAACGTCTTGGTTGAGTTGGCTGGAACGTACAACAGCGCTACGGTCAGCCATGTTATCCAAGCCAACATATACCAACGTGAAGGTTGGAATTATGTTCTGGAGACAGTTAAGAGGGATGTGACCTTTGTAATAGTGCGAATATTAACCAATATCTGTTGTCCGATGGACTCCGCAGTATCGAAGATCTCTGCCTGAGAAGCAGTGATAAAGAGGAATATTCCTGCAACGGAATAGATTGCACCCGACTCCAATCTGAGAAACCAAATTGATACAAAGACATTTATCCATCGTACGGATACGTACATGAGTCCTATTGCCCTGCCATAATGACTACGGTATGCGGTGTCGAGACCGACATGCGAAGACTGACGCCAGATCCACATTATCCTACCGGCTTGGTGAACCTTTCAGCAAGGGTCAACATCGGAAAACCTCGTAGCTCACCTGTGAGGGCGGTGAGAACCAGGTTCGTGGCGACCGCTAGACCAATTCCAATTCGTGCAGGGGTAACGTTGGTGGATTGAAAGGACCCCCAGGTGATCAAGACTATTGCCCATCCGTAAGCCATGCGCTGTACATAAATGCAGACATGGCGAATCACGCAAGGTGCATAGCATGAGCAGTGCAGGCAGAACGAGTACCTTCCGTCGGCACCCCCATATCAGGTAGCATCGATACATCTTGGATTGGATATCAGTATAGTGTTGACTCGGGTTTAGAGATCACTCAACAAACAGAGTATCTGTCACTGCGCTGATGAAGTTGTGAGTCTTAATTCTAAAGCGTAGGGTGAATCGATTGACTTGTTTACCCCGAGCAGAAAATCCTGTGCTATTTGAAGCATAGTGACAGAATGGGGTCCATTTGATGCTTCCATCTGAACCTGTTGCTGAACAACACGGGCAGTTATCACTGCTATAACAATATCGATGGCGATCTGGCTCGTTCCCACAACAGCCATAACGCAACTCGCAGCTATCAGGAATCTTTTCCCTTTCTGTTCCTGGCGACGAGACAGGGTGTAGATAGAGAGCAGGAAGAGGTTGAAATAGATGCCTGTCGCTCAATGTCAGAGAATACGAGAATGACACGATGCAAGACGGACCGTAGAGAAATAGGCAAACCTGAATGCCTTCATTAGAAACAATGGTTTTAGTATCAATGAGATGGTCAACTGACTCCAGCGTCGGAGAGGAGCTCGACCAAGAAGTCCCAGGACGAATCGAATTGCTGAGAGTCCACGGTATACTGCATCGCAGGTTAGTACGGGAAGCGGAGAGGAGAAGATGGCACTCTGGAGAGACGGTCAGATGTCCCATTGTGAGTATAAGTAATGCGCCTCTGGAATTGAAGCAGGACGTGGGAAAGATCTAGTGGCGCACAGGCCGCATCTTTGTTGCACTCCCGAAGGGCAGTGCGCCGTAGTAGAACCGTCCAGCTACTTGTTTTTCTGCCAAGTGCTGGTGCCGTCCGGGGTGTTGTGGTCTCAGCGAGGATGGTCAACCGCTTATGTGCTTGAACCCGGACGTGGATGCTAAACTCGGGTAATGGAGACAGAGCATCGGGCAAAGTCTCTGCAACCGAGTGGAGCTAGCAATCAACAATGCTTCTCGTTCGCCAGAATTGGGGAAGACGTCACGAATGCAGCCCGGGATCCGGTTATCCCGACAAAAGGCCAGAATTCCGAGGGAAAGATCACCGTATGGAAGAAATTCTGTGTGAAGTTTGGATTCAAGTTAGGAATGAATTTTCGCACATCTCTGAATTCGCCCAAGTATACCATGTCATGAACGGTTCCTGGGCGCCCCCGACTCTTGTCCAAACGTAGAGGGGCGTCCGCGGGATATCCCTCACAGCGACGTCGCGCGCGCGCATGAGACCAGTATACAGGGCCATTCGTCCCTGCACCACATTCGCCAGCGGAAGATGCCTTGGTGTCAGCGAAAGGAATCAAGACTGCACATCTGTCGTGGGGCTGCTCCACCCGACCGACCCATTTTGTCCGGACTCCGGCCAAGAGCTTCGACAAAATGGTCCCGCACCGCCGCAAGTAGCATTCAACCCCCCCGTAGACGTCGGTCTGAGCTCTAATTGAAGTGAAATCCTATTGGAGCCAGCTCGGCAGGTATAAGAAAGACCTCCCCGTCGCAAGGTGCTGACGGATGATCAACATCGCGATGATGACCTAGGGACGAGGGCGATGAGCAGTCCAAGGAGCGAGAAGGACGAGGAAAGAAAAAAGCAAAGGGAACCGCGCTAAAATATGTAAAAGAGGGGAGGGTGCCGTGTAACGTAGCAGGAGCTTTTTGTGAGCTCCAAATTGCAACGCCCACCATCCAACCCCGAGTAAGAGTGGCAGTGCGGGGAAGTTGGCTTCGCTCCAGCAGATCAATACTCGCTCACCGACCACGACGCCGCACTGTTTCACCCGCAGATGCCTGGGTACGATTCGCAGCGACGTCGGCCTTGTCCTATCCCATCTCGGAGCTTAATCCCTGGACGATATTCGGAAGATGACGGATGTCCGCTCTAAACCTTTTAACAAAGAATGAGAGAAATGGGAGGGACCATACGCACTCTCAGCACGTATAATCTTCTACTTTAGCGATCAGAGCCACGCACCAGCCACCGAACGTAAATCGTCGGAGTCAACTGGTGGGTGAAGCCGGCTGTGGCCACACGGGAGACGTCGTGGCGAGTGGCGTTAGAATTCGGTGGCCCCCGCGCATTTGAAAAGATATGTACGAACGGACGACGTGAATGGTAGATGTCTTGAGTACAATACTGAGAGGCAGAAAGAGATCGGCCATCATCGATCAGTGGCGGTGACCGGGTGACGAAAGCTGTATGCCAAGCTTGCGCAAACATCTTTTTCGCCACTTCCATCCGGATTCTAGCTGATGTCTGCGAACTCGTCACGGTCCTCGCAATCGACTGGAAATCTATCCGGTACTCGACACACTCTCGCCGATCAAGCTTGCTCGCCCCATGGGCAGTGGTCACTCGTCTTCGACCAGCGGTTCTGCAAAATGTCTGCGCCACCCAAGCGCCAAAATTCTCGAAAATTGGTGGCAAATCTAACGAGCCCTTCCCCCTTCTTCGTTTAAAATTCGCAGTCTCACACGGCTCGACTCTGACGCAGTGCCGTCACTCTTTTCCGCCCGATCCCTCCTTAGCTCTCGCAGCCTCTAGGTTCGGGCGTGGTCTGCTTCTATTAAAAACCCGCACTCAGGATTATTTCTCGGATTATAGGTACCTATGTGCTGGGATGGGGTGGTCCAAAGTGGCAGATTGCGGTGCTCCGAAATCCCTAGTTCGAATGTTGGTCACGGTAACGCCGCCTTTCAGAAAAAAACACGAAGTTCGTGTCTTCGCGATGGCACAAGGCGGTAAACATCTTTTTGTGAATTGTGTCGCCGACCAACATCTCACTTCCTGCTCAACGACAAACTCCGTACTTGACAGGATGCCCGCCGTTGCCCGGCTTCCACTCCACTTTGGGTTTTATTGGCGTACATTACAGGGCCGCTAAAATGCGCCGTCGTGCATGCTGATCAGCCGCCTTCCCACCATAAGAAAGGCGTGACAGTGGCACGGAGGAAGTCGAGGTTCGATTCCTCGTGACGGTATATTGACTGTTTTCGTTTTCTTTCTTTTGATTCTCCTTTTGGCCCACAGAACAGATCCTGCAGGTATTCGACGGGGAAAACACGTTTTGCTACCGCAGTTGTGTATGTCTATATCCTTCCCGAAAAATTGATTCAGACTCTCCTCCTTTCGGAATGGATTCACGCAGGACCGAAAATAAGCCTTCGTGGACGAGATCCGGTCGCCTTTCCCTCATTGAGACGATTCCCGATGGGTCTAAAGGAAGCTGAGGTTCGATTCCTCACGAGCAATGGATAATACCGTTCTTCGGTATTTTTTACCTGTTTTCTCCTAGACTCGCGGACGACGGCGCAGATATGAAATTCTACGTAGCACTGTGTTCAGGCCGTCCGCACACCGATGATTATTTGAATTTTGGCTTTCACATCTTGACCAATCCTCTGAGCAATCAGTCGTACCGTATGTCCAGCTGGAATTCCTTCAGTGGCTTTGGCGTTATAGATACTGCAGGCCAACTTGCTCGCCACAATAAGCTGTCGCGGAATACGGCCAGTCGCCTTTCCACCATAAATACGTTCTCGTATCTGAAGGTATAGAGGAAGCGAAGCCGAGGTTCGATTCCCCGTGACGGCATACTTTGTCACATGGACAATGTTTTTACTCCTTTTCCGGGGGCGGCTTGCAATGCATTTCACCCCTGACTTGAACACATCCTTACCTCCAACTCGGTACTTTTGCCCCTCTTCGGATAAATATTATATCTGCAGGAAGCAACCCAAACCGAAGGCGCCGAGAATGCGGGGGTAACCCCCAATGTTAAGCCATCCTGGACCGTTGGCGGTCACCTTCTTCCTACACCACGCCGTGGACTGTGTACGGTAATTAAGGTCCCGAGGGTCGACCCCTCCAATACTGCCCTCCACGCATTTTTCTTCGGAGCCGGAATGATCCAGAGAAAGGATCTATTAATCATGCCAGTATATGATTGAAGATGACCTCAACGCAGGAAAAGGGGAGTATGCTTGTTTCTTCGTCCGGCCAAAACGAAAGTGGACATTGAGTGCCAGCTTTCGCCGTTATATCGATAAACAGGTTCCTGAAGCGTCTAAGCAAAAGTCCGTCTTACCTGGATCGAACAGGTGACATCGAGATAGCTCAGTTGGCCTCAGTGGGCCGGTTACAGTCTCGCGCTCTGCCAACTGAGCTAAAGACGGCTTGATGACGGGAATTCTACACCGGATAGGGAGGTGAAAGTACGAACCACTCAAGAATCGAGATCACAAGTTGAATTTCGAATTGAACTTCTGTTGAAGTCGAAATGGGACACGGATTCGGGTCAATCGGAGGAGTTGGATTGTTCCATTCACATTGTGAATTAAAAGAATGGAAATATCCGGCAAGGATTATTCCAAAGGAAGAAGTGGTTGGGTTCATTGCGCTAAGTTGCATTGAGGTTGAAGGCCAACTAATGATTTCTGGAACCAACAGCAAGATTCATAGGAGATTGCAGTGCATTCCACAGTAGACCGCGGTTGGTCGTCCTCTGCTCCTCTGTAAGTCAGAATTATGTTGCCTCAATTATTCAAATGTTTTTGGTTCGGTTCATCATTCTGTTGCATTCACGAGATCTCGCTCGGTCAACGAGGAAAGTTAGGTGAGTGGTGCATAGAATTCTCTGCATGCTGAACTTATGTTTATACCCAGTCTCAGCTGATTGAATATTTGAACATCAAATCAAAGGCGATAATATAGTCTCCGCAAGGTGCTCTCAGCTGCAGGGAGAATAAGCCACTGTAGACCATAGTTGGTCACTCCGTGCTCATTCGATCCCGCTATGACCTATTGGACGGAGGTGTATGGAGTGCATGTATTTTTTTCTTTCCTTGCCTTCTTCACCTTTTGTCGCTTGAGTAGGGAGTACGGTTTTTCTGCGATCTTTCCTTGTTCACCGAATGCACGACAGGAATATATCGAACTCTAGCTTGATTGACTTACACCGAGTTTCAACACATTGTCCCTTTGACCCAAGTCTTCCGCCCAACCCCATGTCACTCGACTGCGGAAAGAACAACGATAGCATACCACCGGATCCAGCTCGGACCAGAAAAAGCCGCTGTAGACCAGAGTTGGTCCCTCTCTGCTCGTGTGAGGGAGATGCACTATCAGAGAGAGAGAGCCGGAGGTTTAATTCCTCCCGGCGGCATTGTAAATGCGCCCCCCAGTTTGTGTTTCAAATTTGATTCCTTATTTCTTCTGCTAGACCCGCGCAAGGGTTAGAACAAGTGAGCGCTGTTCAATTCGTGAATGTAGACCCGGTTTCAACCAATCGAACGTTCGAGCCGGTGCAATCTTCAGCCCAGAAGTCTCAGCTGTTGAAAGAAAAATGATAAGATACCACAGGACTCAGCCACGTGAATAAAATGCCGCTGTAAACCTGGGTTGCTCGCCTACCATGCTGGCCATCAGATCGGACGGTTTTATTCCTTCCGGCGACATTCCACAGATTCTATGTATTTTTTTTTGCCTCCATGTCTTCCTCGCACCTACCAGAGCCTCGGCGAGAACATCTGAGCGGTGCACATTCAACTGTCGTTTGTTTGATCTGCACACTGTTTCACCAGATTCAATCAACTCCATCGACAATGGGAATACTACGATCCCGCTAGCCTCTAGGGTGCTCTTAGCTGCAGAGAAAATCAGCTGCTGCTGACCATGGTAGGTCGTCCTCTGCGTGTATATCGCGCATATTCAACAAGTTTGACGGGAGTTCGATTCCTCCCGGTGGCATTCGACGGGCACTTCCTTATCTTTCCGCCCCTCAGTACTCAAATAGGTGGGCAAGTGGTGCAAATTAAACTCTCGCTTGGTTAATTTCTGCTGAATTTCAATGTACACTGAACCTTCGAGCCCGATCCAATCGTCAACCGAACACATTGTTGCTCTCGACCGTTGAAAGAAAAATGGTGGTACACGACAGTGCTCAGCTGCACGGAGGAAAAACTGCCGCATACCAGGGTTGGTCCTTCTCTTTTGCTCCCCTAGTTTTAACCACTCCTCGAGAGAGGCGGAGGTTCGATTCCTCCCAGTGGCAGACAACAATATTTTTTGGCCTCCATAATCCTTCCGGCGGTCTCCTTTCTGTTTGCGGAATGCATGGATGAGAGCACATAGTATTCCGACCATATTTTACATGAATTCCAAGCGACTCAGTCTCTTCTTGCACTGAGGTCAAGCACCAGTTCCTCTCTTTACCCAATAACATGGTTAAAATAAAATAACGCCACACTATAGTGCTTACTGTGGACTAAGTCTACTGTTGGTCGTTCTCTAAAGCCGTGAAAGCATCTAGAGGTCGCAAATTCGCCGACGTACTCGAAACACTGTCGTTACTGGCTGATATTGAGTTGCGGAGGTCGTCGTTGCGAAGGCCGGGGAGCAGCTGACTCGTGCAGAGACAGGGCTCGCAGGGGCTTTGGATGCAAATGAACACACAGCGGAGGTGGAGCGACCGCCAGTTAAGATGAACACCGACATCGCCAGGTCCGTCGGTGATAAAGTGATCGCCAAGATGAAGGAAAAGAGAGTGGTGATCAGCGCAGCACGAAATAAAAACGCGCTCGGCATATTACCCAAGGTATGCGCATGAGCGAACTATATATTCCTGCTCCATTATGATGTTCAACCGCAACCCCAGGTCGCCGGACTCGCCAAGAAAGTCCACGACAGTGGATCAGCTAGTGCGGAGTTCAAAACGCTCGCAGATGCTGGCAAGGCCTCAGGAAAGATTCATCCGACAAGAACGCGCTCGACCGACGGTGCCCGACCCACTGGAACTCCGATTTTGATTTTCTCAGTGCTCAGTGTCTTCAAAGTTACGGGGCAGTAATGAAACGCCATGTCCCAGAAGCTAGCCACGTACCAGCTTACGACACACAGTTTGAATGGGTTGAAAAATTTTCCGATGTGCTCTTTGTATGTTAGTACCCTCCTAATTTCCAGAGCTCACCGTCTTCCGGTGTTCTCGAAGACCTTCTTTCCTCATTGAAGGTTGCGAGGGACGATCCAGAGGCAACGCGATGGTGCGTATCGCGGCATGCGCTGTCACGGTCCCCAAGAAATGTGTTTTGAATGATCAGTCGCGATTGGTGTATGATTTTATCTGGCACAGCACGACACTTTAATTTTTCTAATGGAGGAAACGCAGTTATGTCTCTGGACAAGAAGCTCGAATGGTTTCGCGCTAGAAAACGGGCGGAAGTCGTGAAACGTGTGGAAGACCTCACGATTCGCCAACAATCTTACAGTCGCTTCGCAAAATCCACGGGCAATTAGGTGGAGCTGGCAGCGACAGGGCCGTGTTCAAGCCAAGTTCCAGCAATACAACGACGGTGGTGGAAGAAGGAGAAGGCGTCGGTGGCAACCTAATTGGGTTAGCACAGAAGTTTACGTATTTGACAGGACTTCCTCCGCCAAAGCCTCTTGGGGGTTTTACTCATACAACGAAACCGGCCTTAGAGGCCTTGTACGTAACTTGGAGTACGCCCCTGAGCTGCGTTCTCCGTGGACATTAGGGCAGGTTTCGGCAGACCTGGACGGAGTTGAAGCAAATCGCGACTTGGTACAACTGATCTACTTATCTAAGGCTCCAACCGTTTTCGTTTGAAAACGGTTTCAAACGGTTATAACCGTTTTTATTTCCGTTTAGTTTGCTAGGGAGCCCAAACGGTTTACAAACCGTTTGAAAATGGTTTTAAATGGGTGGAAAAATCAATTACTTGCCAGGAGACATACCAATGAGAATACTGGAGATTTTTGAAGTTCACGGCATTACTGAAGGGTGTGGAAGTCCTCTTAATCAACCAGTATACTCATACCAACCCGTGGTACTCAAACTGAGGTATTGTCTTCCAGTGATGTCCCATGTGACTAATTGTTCAAAGTCGGAATTGATCTCGCGTTTTCCCCTTAAATTCACTGTGTCGTCATTGGCACACTCCAAGACTCTTTTATGCCACCCTCTTCCTCCCATGTACTGGTTTCAATTCCGGTGTGCCCTTATAGTTTGACTAGACACACTCAGCCTCCAGTTCTCCAGAAACAAACTGCCATGTGAGTGAACTCCAGTGACCATTACCACCACACTCTGCCCCGAGTTCATTATTTTGGTGTGCAATAATGACATGAAGTTGTTCTCAATCCAGTACTGCCTCCCTGCATGTCCATTTCTGCAAGTTCAAGGGATCCTTGGTTTGGGGGAAAATGTCTCCAAAAAATACTGTTTGAAACGGTTTTCAAACGGTTTAAAACGGTTTTATTACCGTTTCCATTTGATTTGACTCAATCTTCAAACGGAAACTAAATGGTTGGAGCCCTATACTTATCTATCTGAACCAGACTCAGCCTGGAATTGTGAGAATGAGCATCCTTGCAGTGTAGACAGGCATCCTGGGCGGAGTGACAGCCCATTTATGGAGTTGTCCATGGAAATGTTGAGAAATGTCAACCAAATGCCGATTTCTCGACACTTTCCAGCATTCGAAAATTCTTAACAAATGGCAACAAAATGCGAACAATTTGCAAATGAGGTTTTTCCTGATGAATGGGGCTAACTACCCCGCAGTATTCACATCGTCCCTCACTGCCTCTCACTCTAGCTCACTGCTCAGCTCATCATGTTGCAGATGATTGTGGCGCAACGATGGCTGGTCTCAGTTTTGTGACCCTTGGTAACAAGGAGAAATATGCCGGCCTAAGGCCATCATTCCGTACGGCACTGCGCCAAGCTGACAACCATACTTCTATGTGGACAGAAATCTCGAATTTATGCACGTATCCGGAGAGACCTGCTTCTGCGTGCACTTCGGTGAGGCAACCTCTCATTTCATTAATTTTCTGCCATGACTCACAATATTCTAATAACCAATTCCAACCAATTGTGCGCCCTTTTCCTGACCGACCACAACTCTGAGTCCCGAGTGTCATAATCACGTTCAATGATCGAGGCATGCCATTTAGAAACGGGGACTACACGTTGTTACGTATGATACGCCGTAGCATCGACCCTGCTGTTCAATGTTCAGACTACGCAGACAATCCTCCTTCTCTGAACGCTCCCGCCAAAAACCTCCTAACAATTAATGTTCAAGCACCAGACTGCACTATTCGGGCCGGATGCAGCGACCGATACACTGCGTTCCGTGGGGTCGTCCACACA